GTCAATAGGACTGCCCTTCAAAACTGTCCCCAGATGCTCAGGAATACAGCATCACCCTGTTAACCTACATACAGGGAGGATGGGATAAATGTGTGCTGACATTAAAAAAAAAAAAAAAAAAAAACAAGTGTCTCTCAGCGTTTGCGATCTCAGAGAGGTCGGTGTTGCTGCAGATTTGCGGGAACAGATGTGCACGGTGAGAGGGTGCTGCCTGGAGGCTCTGCTGGGCAGATGGATTCATTACACCACCTAATGAAAAGCAGTGACTCAACTGTGGCCTGAGGGAGGGAAGGCTGGAGCCATACAGAAGATCCAGGCACTTGGGACGCGAGATATGCAGATGGGGAAATGACAGGAGGGCCAGGTGAGAGATGCTTGTGATCCTCTGAGGATGGCCAGAGAGTTCTGCCTGCATCCAGTTTATGTCCAGACCTGCTGCTGCGTGGGAGTCGGTATAACAAGGTCTCATGACCAGCAATAGTCGTTACACATTGTACAAACCCATGAAGAAACAATAGATGGGAACAGGCTGAAACGGATGTAGACAGGTACAGCCTGGTGGCATCCTGCGTCCTGATAATCACCAGCTGGCCGCCCTGGGCATCTTAACTAACGACCTAAGCCTCAGCTTGCATGTTCCTGCTTAGCTGCCAAGTTGTGCCTGACTCTTTGCAACCCTATGGCCTGTAGCCCGCCAGGCTCCTCCGTCCACGGGATTTTTCCAGGTAAGAATACTGGAGTGCGTTGCCATTTCCTCCTCCAGAGCATCTTCCTGACCCAGGGATCGAACCCACGTCTCCTGCATATCCTGCTTGACAGGCGAATTCTTTACCACTGAGCCACCTGGGAAGCCCAAGCTGGAGCGTGGGAGGTAGTGGAGGTATAATAGTACCCATCTCAGGGTTAATGTGAGGGTTAAAGGTCAGGAGATACAAAACCTTAAGGCTTGAGAAACAGTGAGTTTGCCCATTTCTGGACAAAGCCTCCACCACTTCCAAAGGTAATAAATGAATCCCACTGTACCTGTCACCCTGACTTCCCAGCCCCTGCACTTTCTGAACATCTGCCTCCAAAAACCTGTATCAGCATTGTTAGCAGTTCCTCCACAAGCTGCTGTTTCCTCCATAAGCCCAGCCTTTCAACCCAAAGGCAATTCACTGGATTTTATGAACAAGAGCAAAACAGAGATGAGAGACCATCCTTTCTAACACTCAGGAGTGTTATTCATATGTCAACTGACCCGAGTCTCAATCACAGCACTGTCATTGCTGAATAATGTTGTGGACGGGTAGGGATTCAGTACCCTGCCTGGGGTAGGGAGTATGGTGATCTCCAGAAAACAAAAGCAAGGAGCTAGATCATACCCTTCTGCTGCCTCGTTCTGAAGTTTTGTTGCTAATGATGCTTAAATTGTCCAGCCCGTAAGTTCAATGGCCAGTAAAATATTTTAAAATAAATATTTAGATGACTTGTATTTGTTGCATAAAGACATTTCCAGAAAGGTTAAATGTATTATTTGGGACTGCAACAAGTTCACAAGTTTGTGAAATCCTGAACCTACACATGGTTTAGAAGTAGTGTTAGTAATAGTAATAATAATCATTGTAATTGTAATAGCAATTATCAGGATTGAAGTCACCATTTCTTTGCAAATATTATTGCCAGATATTAAGAGTCCGATACTATTTCCATTTTTACCTTTCAGAGAACTGAGATCTGGCTCCTGATATGGTGACCATGATTAAACCTCAGTAACAGCTCAACCTGTCAAACCACCCAACATAAACAGACATGCACTGATATTAAATTTGGGTTCACTGCTAAATGGGCTAAAAATAAGAATAACCTCAGTCAAATGCAACCACATCAGAGAGTTCACACTAAAAAAGTCACTCTCAGAAAAGGAATGCTCTGAAAGGTCAGATGGAAATTTCCCCTTCCCACCCCCAAGTGCTCAAAGAGCGAATAAATACACACCTCTCTATTAGGCCAAGGATCTTCAAGGAGGTGGCTGTGGGCAAGAATCATGGCTCCTTTGATCTGTTAGAAACTGTTTTAAAAAGAAACATGAAAATAAGTGCAAGGATTCAGTGAGGTGGGAGTGAGGTGATTTTCCACCATCTGAGGTCAAGGGTAGAGGATGTCATTTATTTCCTATATAAACCTCAAAGTCAACTTTCCAAAATAGAAAAAAAAGAATTAAAAGTGGAGTTGTTTGAATTGACTCTCTGGCTCTATATGATTTTTCTGTTCTCATTGTTGGCATTATCCATCCAAGTCAACTTACCTCTCAGAAAAAGTGATGAGGAACATTAGACCATGTCTTCAGAAAGCCCACATTGTTCTAATGGTCCTTCACTTTCCCTCGATAATTTTGACTTTGTTAATAAAGCTTAGGCGAGAGTATTGTACTGGAGGAGGAAATGGCAACTCACTCGTGTTCTCTCCTGGGAAATCCCGTGGACAGATGAGCCTGGTGGGCTACAGGCCATGGGATCACACGGGTTGGACACTCTTGGCAACGAAACCACCACCAGCTATAAGCATTGTACTTTGAAGTAAATGTTAAACTAGACCAACCCACCTGTGGGCAGCCACTCTTTTCTAGGAAGCGAAGTGAATAATTAGAAAAATGGAGAAACGTTTTCCACAGCCCTTGCTGCTGCTTTCCCTTCATTCTTTCTGTGTAATTTCCTTACACAAAGGACTTTCTTTGTGTGTGTACTTAATGAGGAGCCTCATCTCTTGCCCAAAATAGTCGACCAGGTGAAGGGAGTTCTCTGTTTTAATTTTGTCTCTCAGAACACTGCTTTGGCTTTTCCCCTTTTTCTATTCTCTCTTTGAAAAGAGTCGGTGGAACATTTCAAATGTGTTATGTTAATACAGAGCAGTAAAAATACGTGTTCCAGTTGTTTCATTCTGCCATCTTGAATGAAGATCTGATCTGATAAATGCTTTCAAATGGCTGTCTATCTATAATGTAACACTAAAATCATTAAATATAAGATGAGCCCAAATGAGTTCTAAGGGGAAAAAAGCACCAGCTTATCCAAAGAGTTTTATCTATTTCTTATTTCAGCTAAACATTCATTGCCTTGCTCCCCTTCCTTCTCAAATTTTCCATCTCCACTGGATGGACATTAACTTTCAATGTTTGAGGAAATCCCCTTAGGCACAGCACAATTTCATCTTATCCAAAGTTTTTTTGTTTTTGCTTTTCAATTTTTGGCTGTGCCACGTGGCATGTGGGATTGTTGTTTCCCAATCAGGGATCGAACCAGCATCCCCTGCACTGGAAGCTCAGAGTCTTCGCCACCAGACCACCGGGGAAGACACTGTCTGCAGCTTCGCTTTCTGAGGTTTCAGTTACTCACAGTCAACCATGGTCCAAAATATTAAGTGGAAAGTCCCAGACATAAAGAACAAGCCTTTTTTTCCCCTTCAGATTTCTTTTTCTTTAAAACTTTTTATTTTATATTGGAGTGTTGTTGATTTACAGCATCGTGTTAGTTTCGTGTGTAAATTGCATGCTGTTCAGACAGGCGTGAAGAAATCCCGTGCCCAGTCGTGATGGATCACCTCTCTGTTCAGTGCATCCCCAGGCTGTGCTCTCTACCCACCCATTAGTCACTTAGTGGCCATCTGAGTTGTCAGATCAACTGTCACGGTGTTGCGATGCTTGTGTTCAAGGGACCCTTATAACTTTTGTTACCACTAGCATAGTGTCATAATTGTTGTGTTTTACTATTAGTTATTGCTAATCCCTTACTGTCCTTAATTTAGCATTTTTAGTTGATTTTTGGCTGTGCTGGGTGTTCGCTGCTGCTCAGGCTTTCCTCTAGTTGCGGTGAGCAGGGGCTGCTCTCCAGCTGCATGCCCAGCTTTCCCACTAGAGCGGCTCCCCTGTTGTGGAACACGAGCTCCAGGGCAAGTGGGTTTCAGCCGCTGTGGTTCCCAGGCTCGAGAGCGCAGGCTCAGTTATCCCCGGGATGTGGAATCTCCCCAGATCAAGGACCGGACCCATGTCTCCTGCACTGGCAGGGGAATTCTTTACCACAGAGCCAAGGGAAGCATCCCTAATTTAACTTTATCATAGATATGTAAGAATAGGGAAAAACATGACATCTATAGATAGGGTTGAGTACTGTCCGAGGTTTCAGGCATCCACTGGGGGTCCTGGAATGTATTTCTTGAGGATAAAGAGGGGCTGCTGTATTTTATTTTTGTAACTTTACAGTAACTCAATAATGCAATTTATAGCATCTGCAAGGAAGCCTCCATGTTCTAATCAATTGCAGCTCTTCTGCTCTGAGTACCAGCAGCAGAGGTTATTTTTCCCACGAGCCTTTGACTAACACAGCACCAGGGCCCCAGACAGAAACTGAAAAAGCAGCAAAGACATAAAGCCTTTTTTTTTTTCCAGCACCAATTCAGTGTTGGTCTAGCAGAAAGAAATTGCATGGAGAAGTTGACTATCATCACATGGCTGGCTCTTTGAGACTGATCTGAGTTTTCCACTTGAAGGGTTCTAAGCACTCAGAATGTCATGTGTAACCTCAAAACATCCTATGCAGTGGCCTGGTTCTCAGAGACTGGGTTCAAGGAGTTCTACCTCTCAAAATCAAGCTGGAGCTGGAGGCCTGGGAAGGGCTGTGACTGTGCTCTCAAAGAACCTTGTCCAAAGTACGTCAGCAAAGAAACTTCCCATGGCCTAGGGAACATCAGGAACTTCTCATGCTATCTCAGAGTAAGAAAACGTTAGAAACCCCACTGCCATGTGACTTGCACGCTAGAACCTTCTGGCCATAGACACGAAACCTTGTACAAAGTAATCTGCCCATTCAAGACAAGATTTTGGTGAATTCAGACTTGAGCACTGCATTTAGCATAATTTAACCCGAAATTGTTTTTCATTTGATTCCACTTTTCAAAGAAAAGGAGTCTGTGATTTTAAAAATGTAACCTTCAAGCTCTACCAGATCACTTTCACTTACTTCGAGGCAACCATGAGACGGACAACATGAACCAGATCTATGGCTTCGAGGGGGAGGTGAAGGCCAAGTACACAGCCCAGATGTACGAGCTCTTCAGTGAGGTGTTCGAGTGGCTCCCGCTGGCCCAGTGCATCAACGGCAAAGTGCTGATCATGCACGGGGGCTTGTTCAGTGAAGACGGCGTCACCCTGGACGACATCAGGAAGATTGAGCGGAGTCGGCAGCCCCCAGATTCAGGTCCCATGTGCGACCTGCTCTGGTCAGACCCGCAGCCTCAGAATGGGCGCTCAGTCAGTAAGCGGGGCGTGAGCTGCCAGTTCGGGCCGGACGTCACCAAGGCCTTCCTGGAGGAGAACAAGCTGGACTACATCATCCGCAGCCACGAGGTCAAGGCTGAGGGCTATGAGGTGGCGCACGGCGGCCGCTGCGTCACTGTCTTCTCTGCCCCCAACTATTGCGACCAGATGGGGAACAAAGCCGCTTACATCCACCTCCGGGGCTCCGACCTGCGGCCCCAGTTCCACCAGTTCACAGCAGTGCCTCACCCCGACGTCAAGCCCATGGCCTACGCCAGCACGCTGCTGCAGTTAGGGATAATGTGAGGCCCGCGTGGCAGGGCCCCACTCCCCATCGACCCCAGGCCCAGCCCAGGGCAATGTTGGACCCCCTTTTACTTTGTAAAGTTTGTATTTATTCCCCTTTAGGTTTGCAGAGGGGGTGGGGGGCTGACCAGACGGTCTGCTCCCCTGGCAAAGAAGGAGGAGGTAGAGAGGCTGAGGGTGGGGCTCCGACCGGGCATTCTGGAGGAAGGCCAGCGCAGCCGTGGGGGCCGGGGCCCAGAGGCTTCCCCGCCCCCCTTGCTTGCATGGCCCCTCCCCTGCTAAAGCAATAGGGCCCCGCCATAGGAAGACCCCTGGAAGGAGGGTCGTCAGGGAGGCCTCACCTGCACCCCCCTCCTGGCAGCCCCAGGGTGGGGCTCGGCTGGGGTGCACCCCCTTCCCCAGCTATTTTATGTCTGTAATTAAATATGTTAAAATAAAGTCATTATTGTAAGTCAAAAAAAAAAAAATACACTGAAACAAAGTCATGCATTTTACTAAATAAATATAATCAAGACCATGCAAAACTCAAAATTGTTTCCAGGTTGTAACTACTATTGCTTGTCTACCTGTTTTGGCTGAGTGCCAAAGCACTGATGCTTTCGAACTATGGTTTTGGAGAAGTCTCTTGAGAGTCCCCTGGACTGCAAGGAGATCCAACCAGTCAATCCTAAAGGAAATCAACCCTGAATATTCATTGGAAGGAATGATACTGAAGCTCCAATACCTTGGTCACCTGATATGAAGAGCCGACCCATTGGAAAAGACCCTGATGTTGCGAAAGACTGAGAGCAAAAGGAGGAGGGGGCAACAGAGGATGAGATGGTTAGATAGTGTCACCAACTCAATGAACATGAATTGGAGCAAACTCCAGGAGATGGTGAAGGACAGAGGAGATTGGCATGCTTTAGTTTGTTCATGCAGTCACAAAGAATCAGACACAGCTTGTCGACTGAGCAGCAACAAAACCTGTTTCTGGCTCAAGTCCTTAATGCCTGTTACCAAAGCACAAGGAGAGAATCGGCATCTCATCTAAGGATGGGGAGGACCACAGTCCAAGGCCAAGAAACCTTAAGGTGTGCAGAGAAGACAGACTAGGAAAGGCAAATGCCCAGTCTTAAAGCACACGGTCAGACTCTTTGTGCAGCCCTGACTTTTAGCACAAGACTATAAAGTAATAATTATATATGCATTTGTTGCAGTGGTTATTTAGCCACCAAGTCTTGTCCGACTTTTTGCAACACCACGGACTGTAAATCAAAACAGCCACTCCATCTGTGCTTTGTTGTTCAGTCGCTAAGTCATGTCCGACTCTGTGGATCCTCTGTGTGGATCCATCTGTACTAAGTCAGATCAATTATCTTCATGAACTCACCACCACTGACTGCTGTTTCTTCTCTTTCACATGTTCACTCTCCCATCTCCCTCCAAGTCTTTCCACTTCTTTTGCTCCACCGTTTTGTCCCATATTCCAAGGCCACTGCTGTTATTACACTAAACTTGACCAAGTCACTATTGCCCTATGTTGTCTGACCACCTCTAGTCTTTTTCCAACTCATCCTACGGTTGCTGTTAATAACTCAGTCATGTTCAACTCTCTGCGACCCCATGGACTGTAGCCCACCAGGCTCCTCAGTCCATTGAATTTTCCAGGCAAGACTACTGGAGTGGATAGCATTCCCTTTTCCAGGGGATCTTCCCGACCCAGGGATCAAACCTGGGTCTCCTGCATTGCAAGAAGATTGTTGTGGGTTTTTTTTTTTTACCATCTGAACCACCAGGGAAACCAACCCACTCTATCATACATCCCCTCATTGAGCTATTTTCTTAAAATGCCATGTTTTCATCATGTTAGCTCCGTGCATAAGAATGAACAAGGACTTGTCAGAGCTCACAATCTTCAGCGTGGTGTTCACGAGCTCTTCTCCATCTGGCTCTGCCCTCATCCTTACAGCATCACTCCCTTTGAGGGAACGGCCTCCCTCGCCTAGTCTGTTAGGATGTTTTCCACTGAAAGTCTGTCAACCTGAGATTCTAAGTGTTCACTTCTGCTGGAGAAGCGGGGAAGAGATTGAAAGGGGCTGAGCTGGGAAAGAGCAGGCATTCTTTGGATTTAAAATCCATCAGATGTCTTTGCAAATGAGCTGGGGGTGGAGATGCCTCCCTCTCAGATTGGAAAGGGGAATTCAGTGGGGTGTCGTGTTGGGGCGGGTCTTAGAGACAGAACCTTCTGCTGGCTAGGGCCGGGACTGGGCTTGCGGCACGTGGCTCCCTCACTGCCTGTCGGCAGGGAAGGCAAGTCTGAGGTCAGCTCAGCTGCCTACCCGGAATCATGGATGGAGACAGAGTCAAGCATCACGACCTTAACAAACTGTGAGTGAATGCACTTCAGGGAGAGTTCTCAGGGCCGTGTGCTATGGGAAGCCTTCTCTGACCATGTGTCCTGTCTGTAAAACTTCACCTGAGCTCTCGTCGCATCCCACAGTGGCCTGAACCAGAGCTCTGGACGCACGGAAGGTGAGTCTCTCTGTTTTCTCACCTGTCTCCTCCGCTCCTGAGGATGTTCGGCACACGTCTGGTATGTGGGGCAGCTCCATAAATGAAGCCACACGCTTCTGGAAGGAAAGCCAGGGAAAGAGTAAAGTGGATGGAAGCCCTCCTTGTGAGTGGGGCTTTGTCACTGACATCTTGCCTCCGCAGAGCGCAGTTCTGGACCACACACACACAGAAGGCACTCACTGAGTGAGTCAGTGACCAATAAGCCAATGCTATTTTTAAAAAATTAATGAATTTTAACTGGAGGGTAATTACTTTACAATATTGTGGTGGTTTTTGCCATACATCGACATGAATCAGCCACAGGTATACACGTGTCCCCACATCCTGAATCCCCCTCCCGCCTCCCTCCCCATCCCATCCTTCTGGGTTGCCCCAGAGCATGCATGCCCTGCTTCATGCCTAGAACTTGCACTGGTCATCTATTTTACATATGTTAATATACATGTTTCAAAGCCATTTTTAAAAAATATTGCTATTGGACCCTTTTATTTCTTTCTCAGATTAAATGTGAAAATCCAACCCTGTGACTTTTGTAACCCTAAGAGCTTTGTTTTCAAAACTAATGGTTAAAATGATGCCAGTCAAATTTTCACACATGCAGCTTTAGTGCAACTATCTCAGAGCACAGACAGATAGGTTTAGCCTTCTGCATCATGCCGCACATGACTCAAGAGCATTTGCAAGGTTGCTGTGACTTCCAGACGGGGCTACAGCAGCACCCAGAGCTCCCCTAACTGGACGTGCTGCTAGTGAGGGGAGGGGCCTGCCGTCGCCTCTCTGCGTACACACGTGCTCTCGTTTAAAGCACAGCTCAGACTGCTGAACGGGAAAATTCTAGCCTGCAGGGTCCAACTTCAAACACTGAAAAAAAAAGAGAACTCCCAAGCCTGGTTTCCACTTCGGCCTTAACTAGCTCCTATTGTGCTCCATATGGCAGGACATATGTTTCCCACTACACAAATTTAAAACATCTGAAAATAATATTTTCCTGATTGAGCAGTCGTTAGGGATGAGGCAGCATTTTCTGAGCGAAAGCTCGAGTCTGTGGCAAATCTAAGAGGCAGCAACCCAGGCACAAGGGTCACAGTTCACTGAGGCTCAGCCACGGTCCAAGGACAGCCTGCAAGTCCTGGGACAGGAAGCCGAGCATCGTCACACTGCCCCCAGCCCACACCGCAGGCCCACAGCCACGCTTCTCTGCCTGGAGTATGAGCTTCATAATAAAAAATAGAACAAACAGTGCACATTATGTAGAAAACAGTATTGAAATACACTTATTTGAATAGATTCATTTTTGTGATTTTATCTCTGTTCTCCATAAACTAGTCTTTAGACCTTGGAGAATTATGGGAGAAAAAGTGGAAAACCTTTCTCATAAATTACCCTGGATTGGGCTGGAGCAGGGAAACTGCTGGATGAAGAAGTGATACAGTTTTGCTGCTCGTAGGGTCCTGTAATGCCCTGAGATTCTGGAAGGAACTGGTTGGCAAGGGAGGGAGTCCTCGGGTAGGAGATGTTTGGAGTCTTCTGGTCAGGAAAGGGTAAACGCAGAGAGAATGATGCTAAAGCCCAAGGCAGCCCCATTAATTATGGACGCTGGGCCGGGTGGCAGCAGCATCCCGTAAGAGGCCTGGGGTGAGGGCAACCTTCTCACTGAATCGCTGAGTCAGGGAACTCTGCAGAGTTGGCATGCAGCCGCCCTGGCAAAGGAGTTTCCAGGGAGCCAAGACCGCTGCCCGGGATCCAGATAGAGAGGAAGAAAGGGGGGGGGGGGGACGGAAGGGGGAGGCAAAGAAAGAAGGAAGGGAGAAAGGAATGGAGGAAAGGAAAGAGGAGGGAGGGAGGGAGGGAAGTGATTTGGAGAAAGCCTGGAAGATAGGACCACGTTCGCACCTGCTTCAGAGCAAGGGCGCGTTTCTCTCTCATCGTGAAGTGTCACCTGACCATTCAGATGCCCACTCCATCCCTTTGTTTTCTTAACATACTGCATATTTTTCTCATCTTGTTTCCTTCCTCCCTGACGAGAACACTAACTCCATGAAGATAGAAAAACCCTGTTCATTTGGCTCGCAGTGCTGTGCCCTCTAAAATGAAGTGTCCGAAACATCGCCCTCATTCTCGTTGCCCTCGCATGGCCTTGAGTTGATGAGGGCGGTACAGTCAGTCCCACGCAGGAGAGGAGGCAAAGAGGTCAGTAGGGAACTCCTGCAGCCCTAGATGGGCGAGGAGGGAAGCCTCTCCCCAGACGAGGCAGCCCCCAGGCGGCTCCCACACTTCTGGCGCCCTTTGTCCAGCTCGGACAACACACCTCACCCACAGCGAGTCCTCTGGTTCTCTCAGCCGCCCTCTGAGGCAGGCACTATTTCTAATTTTGTATTTTGCGTAAGTTAACTGAGGGGCAAAGAGGTAAAGAATTTGATCGAGGCATTTATAATGCTGTTGTC